GTTCGTGTGTTGCGAGAAAATATTACCGGGATGAAAGTGCTTTGTGTGACATAGTAGTACTATACACAACAAGAAAAAAACAATGGGGGTGGGATATCATAAACAAGAACAACACCAATAGACAGTCACACCAGTGCTTTCATTGGTGATAACAAGAAGTGTCTGCTCCTACTAAATTCTTTTCAGAGCAGTACTTACCACTTTGCTGGCACTAACTTAGTTTTTGCAATAATAATTATTTGTGTTAGTAACACAGCCAATTCTGAAAAAAATGCCAAAACGAGGGTTTTGGTGGAGTTAGGAAAAAGTTATGGTAGTTCCTACATTATTTTTGGACTCCTGGTACGAAAATTGTGAGCAATAGTACGAGTCGTACGTACAGTAAGTATCTTTTCTTTTTGTCCCGCCTGTCCGCCGGTCTTTGAGAAAATGTGTTGCTTAGCATCCATAGAAGTTTTGCAGTTACGGTACATTCATTTTCGTAGTTTCTTTCGATTTCAGGTATGCTTTCGATTTCAGGTATGATTTCTGTTTCTTCTCAAAAGCAATACTCAAGACTGTACTCAAGACTTGTCGCTGAGCGCCATACATACTTCCACCGAGGCCTACGTCTAGATTGACATTCAATGCTTATCCAAACCATAGAGTACTAGCATCAGTGAATATTTGTTGAGGGCTAAGAGAAAATGGACCGAAAAACCAAAAGGCAACGGCTAAACTCGAAGGCAAATGGGAGCAGGAGAGGTCAGAATGGCAAACTCACCAACAAATCACCGAAGCCATCATCTCCAGGTGCAGCTTCTACTGGCACTGGCAGAGTTGTAAAAACGACGAACGTTTTACTCACTTTGTCCGCTGAAGAGAAATGTAACTTGGTGGCCGAACTTAGTGAATTGGTTTTGGAAAACCCAAACAAAGCCTTTCAAGTGGAAAAAGAAATCTTCAACGGGGATGGTAACAAAGAAGGTGACGGCAATGGAGATGTCAGATCAGTCTCGAAGGTACAGCAACTCTTAGATTTATCACGGGTGCATAAAAATGGCAATGACGACTACATAGCTTCTCTTGGAATTATGTCGCTACTTGCTATCTTCAAGGACATCCTCCCATCTTATAGAATCAGGCAACAAACAGAGATAGAACGGGAGAGCAGGATTAGCAAGGAAACGAAGGCACTTTGGGACTATGAGCGAGCACTTTTGACACATTATCAGCAATATTTGCAGGTTCTTGAGAAAGCGTGGGATAGAGGTCAAAATCAACACGAGACAGGCCCATCTCGTCTTGCCATCACAGCAATGCTAAGTCTCTGTGAACTATTGAAATCTGCCTACCACTTCAACTTTCGGTCGAACATCTTATCCATAGTTGTTAGACAGATGAATAACCGCAAATGTGATCAAGTTAGTAATGCTTGTTGCCGAGTTATTGAATTTGTCTTCGAAAAGGATACGCAAGGCGAAGTATCAATGGAAGCGGCTCGCCTAGTCGCAAAGCTCGTAAAAGAGTACCGTGGTGCGTTGAGACCTGGTGTCATACGAAGCTTCGCAAAGTTGCCCCTTCGTGTCCATGTGGATGAAGCTCAAGCAGCAAAGCTTGCAGCAGATGCAAACAAAAAGAAAAGAAAAAAAGATAGGGAGTTGGCAGAAATCGAGTCCGAGTTGAAAGAGAGCTCTGGAACAGTCGACAAGATCATCTTAGCTCGATGTCAGTCTGAGACATTACAATCTGTTATCCTCACTTATTTTCGAGTCCTCAAGAGCACGGATTCAAAGACGAGACACGATTTGTTACCGGCAGCACTCGAGGGTCTGGCTAAGTTTTCGCATCTTGTGAATATTGACACTGTCGTCGATCTTTTGGATGTATTGAAAGAGCTCTTACTAATAGTTGACAATCTTCCTCTTGAAGCGTCACTCAACTGCGTCCTGACGGCATTTCAAACTCTTGAAGGACCGGGGAGAGAAATGCAAATCGATCAGAAAGAATACATCGCACCGCTGTACAGTCAATTAGCTCGAGTTGGGACGGAAGAGAACAGCAAGAAAAACACTTACATTTTGCTTCGCTGTTTGACGGCAGCCTTCATCAAACGAAGAGAGTATTCAATAGTACGGGTTGCCGCATTCGTAAAACAAATGTTTACTGTCGCAATGCATTCGCCAGACTACACTAGCGTACCACTCATTGCTTTGGCAAGGCAAATTCTGCAACGATATCCAAGCGTGCATCAGCTGTTGGAGAGCGAATCTGATGTAATAACATCTGGTACATACAAACCAGATGTCGCCGATCCCGAGCACTCAAACCCCTTTTCAACGTCAGCATGGGAATTAGCATGCTTGAAATTTCATGTCCATCCTCAAGTTCGGGAGCAAGCTATTTCGGCGGCTCAACTAAAAATGATTCAATTGCCGGCCGAGGCACCTGATAAACTGAGGAGCATGCTATCAAAGAATGGTGACGAAATTTATATCCAATTCCGAAGGCAGTCAAAGAAACATCCACTCTCAGGGAAGGCAGGAAAAAACCAATTGCGATTTATCACGCCTCGAAAATCTAAGATTACTTTATTTCCGACAGATTAATTGTTGATTCCACTTTTAACCCCAGGACAGGATTGAGCGACAAGTTTCAGAAAATTAAGATTTTATGGTGTGACAACATAAAAAATTTGAATATTCTGGATTTCCAGTTGATTGTAACAAGGTGTTTCTTATTGCACACCCAAGATTTAGAATACAGTATTGTCATAGGTAAAATATTGCATTTAATTATCGAATTTGAGTACACCGTCAATATCAGGATTGTACGTTCCATTGGCAACTTTTTTCTCGTACTCTGTTACTGCTACGAAGTATCCGTAATACTTTTCTCGCTCTTTCTCTGGAAGATATTCATACAGCTCATTTAAATTTATTCGAACAACCTTGTACATATCAGCGAGTTCCACCATTTCCAACGGTTCGAAATCCCTTTGGATTGACGCAGAGTATTTTGCAATGTCTTGAAGCGTGTTCATGACATTGGCAGCATTCTTTCTAGCGGAATCACGTTTTTGTTTCGGTACCTCTTCTTGAATCATAAGCCTCATATTCCCATCTAAATTTGAGTTTCTTAGTAAAATCTGAGTTCCGAAGGCAAATTGCATCGGGCTAACCATAACATCCTTTAGCTCGCCACTGACAATCGCACGGAGAATTTTTTCTTGGAATTGTGATACCTCTGCGACTCTCAGAACAACTAATCCACTTCTTTCTTCTGGAGCAGGAGGAGTGGCAGGATTATTGTAAATCTCCTTGAATTCGGGGTCGTCTGGATTAAATTGCTCTTCCGTGGCTTGCGCTTTTTCTGGTTTCACTGATGTTCCTATTGCTACAGATGCAGTTGCAACTCCGATCGTCCTACAAGCATCGGCCAACCACGAGCGGCGAGAGCAACTTTTTCCATAATCATTCGTGAGTGAGGCCCTTAACACAAAGTTGTCGACTCCGCTGTTGACGTGGACCAACTTCGTCTGAGTAAACCCATTCCCGCCTTGTATTCGAAGTGCGCAAGCTAAAAGGAGCCAATTTTTCGTTGTCATCGTTACATTCATTGTTCCGAAAAGGGGAAGGATTGCCGCTGTGTACGTTTTTAATAACGGAGTTTACAGAGGAACTCTACAATCTTACGACTACTTTGTATCTCTTCTTCGCGTTCGGGTTGTGATTTACGATATCAACAACCAACTACGAGAACGAACCAATTATTGCACGTTACGACGAAAACGGTGGAAGAACTATTCCATTGTCTTCATCACTCTTATTCTTGTACCGTGCGGCCGGTGGTGGGAGTACGTATTCGTACTTCGTGCGATGTCGTTATCCCTCTCTATCTTACTTCTACCGGTACGTACGAGTACTAACCAGACGTGGGGGGCTCATCGATAATTGAAAATCCGACTACGACGACATCATTAGCATTCGCATCTCGTGCTATGGCATGTACGCATTTGTACTTCCATTTCCTTTTCGTAGTCGTGCGGATGACGTGTCGTCTCAGTCTAGGACTATTAATGGTAAGTCCCTTAGTCGCAAGTTATTGGCAATTCCCCGGGTGTCAATTTTTTCTCATTTTCCCGTCTTTATTTCCCCGC